GAAGTTCATTCTCCCGTCTTGTCCTCCTCCCATTTCCCCATCTCCACAAAATGCTGGAGTAAATGAGAGAGCAGGAGCAGGAGTGGGAAGGTGGGAGGAAAAGCTGGCAGGAGACCAAGGAAGGGCCCCCGGGGGTGGAGAAAACCATGGAGAGCGTGGGGCTGGAGAGCCAGGGCCACCTCCGCCCTGCTTGCTTGCTTCTGTCAAGAGGCCTGACACTCAGACCATTCGAGGGGCATCACATTCACAACTCCCCTCCTTCCTCAGACGGGGACACTGAGGCTCAGAGAGGGGACCCCAACCTGCACAGGCCATGCAGCTGCAAAGCCACATGTCCATACAGCAGTGCACCCAACCTGGCGTGTTACTGGTGGGACAGGCAAAGACCTGCCCAGGGGATGGCTTTCTGGTTAACCTCCCACAGAGCTAGGCTGTCCCAAGAAGCCATAAGTCCCATAGCTGCGTCTGGGATGGTCCTCACCCAGCAGTGACCTGACCGAACCCCTGGCAAGTCAGAACCCCTGGCAAGTCAGCCCGGGAGAGAGGTGCTCTCAAGGAGCCCTCGGGCAGAGTGCTGAGGGGAGGGGGTCGTGGGGGACTCTGAGAGGCAGCAGCAGGGAGCCTGGTTAGGCTGAGCTTAGAAGTGAGAACGGGTGGATGTCTAGACCTCACGGGGCCTGGTGCACCTTGAACGAATAATTTTGTGAATAAGAATCAGCACAAAGCTGGTTCCTAGGAGGAAGAGGCCAAGTATATCTCACAGTCGCACTTCCCCGTTGTCTCTAACCCTAGCCTCTCTCTTGCCCGCGGAACTCTTTCTCCTTCTCTGCTGAGTTTGGTAGTTGCTGCAGTGTCACACAGACTCTCCTTACAGTGATGTGGTTTATTAGGGTAAAAAATACAACTCAGAAGTAGCTCGGGAGCAACATGAAGAGGGAGTCAGCGAGGTTTGGAAAGGTCCCTGAAGTCTATGGACCAGGAAGATCTCCTTCCGGATTCTCTCCCTCAGGAACCTTCCCAGAGCCTGGGTTTGGGGGCTTTTATCAGCCTGTCCATGCACTCATTATTGGTTCCCAGGTGGGCTCCCAGATCGGCTCTCACTCATTAACACAAACCGTCAGATGTGGCCAATATAGTCCAACCAGCAGAACGAACAAATATGTCTTGGAAGAAGTACAACCAGAATGCTCCTTGGAAGCAAGGATGGCAAGACTACGTCTCATACTTTGGACGTGTTGTCAGGAGGGATCAGTCCCTGGAGAAGGACATCATACTTGGTAAAATAGAGGGTCAGCGAAAAAGAGGAAGACCCTCAATGAGATGGACTGACACAGTGGCTGCAACAATGGGCTCAAGCGTAACAAGGATTGTGAGGATGGCGAAGGACTAGGCAGTGTTTTGTTCTGTGGTGCATGGGGTCACTATGAGTTGGACTCAACTGGACAGCACCTAACAATAACAACCCTAAGGATTATTTCTTAGATGCCGGCGACAATGGCCAAAGAGCTTGAGGTAAAGTAACCATCAATCTCACAAAGGGCCTGGTGCAACTCGGGTCACAAGTGAAGGCCATGGTGACCCACGACCTGTCCCAAGTCCCCTCCAGCCTGCCTTCTCCATGTGGGCTTTCTCTCTCTTTCTCTCCAAAACATACACAGCCACTGCCTCACACTCTTAAAGGTCATCTGATTCCATCTGCCACATGGGTCCGTAGAAGACTGCTATTCCCGGAACCCACACTAGGAAAGGGCTGCCGGGAAGTGGGTGGGGTCACTGGTTCCTAAAGCCAGAAGCGCTGGGCTCTCATCTCAGCCTCTCTAGTTAGTAATCATTTGACCTTGTCCACATTACTTAATCTCACTCAGGCTCAGCTTCCTCGTCTGTAAAATGGGCTCACGCTCTCTACTGGCTTATGAGGGTCAAGAGAAATCTCTGAAAGTGTGAAAGGACTTTATCACCTAGGGTTCCCAACCCTGGATGTATGTGGGGATCACCCAGGACCTTTAAAATCGGCTAATGGCTGGTCCCCCCCACCAAGAGAGTCTAATTTCAACTGGTCTAAATGGTAACCTAGAGGACAAGATGGCACAGACTCGCCTCTCCCCGCTCTTCCCTGCTCCTTTGCTGTTGTTGCTAGTTGCTGTCGAGTTGGCTCTGACTCTTGGAGACCCTATTACAACAGAATGAAGTGTTTCCCAGTTCTTTGCCATCGCCAGCACTATATTGGACAATGTTCTGTTGTGATCCAGAAGATCTTTACTGACTGACTTTCAAAAGTAAATTGCCAAGCCTTTCTTCCTAGTCTATCTTAGTCTGGAAGCTCAGCTGAAACCTGTCCACCATGGTGACCCTGCTGGTATTTGAAATACTAGTGGCATTGCTTCCAGCATCACAGCAACATGCAAGCCATCACAGTATGACAACTTGACGCACGAATGGTGGTTCCCACTCTTTTAGTACAATTAAAACACCTGAAAGTAATACAGCAGACAATCATGGAAACACCCTGAAGGGTAGAAAGAGGAAGGTAGGCTGGCTAGGGATCTCAGGACTTGAGTGTTTCCTGAACACCCACCAAGGGGCAGAAGATGACTATGTAGATGTTTTCTTCCCCCGGCCACACCAGAAGAGAAACTTCTGATGCCTGGCAGGAGCCCCGCTGGCACCAGGTGGCCCAGAGAGTGGGTCTGGAGAAGCACCTGCCATGCCATGGCCTGGTGTCTCCCACCCCACCTACCAGCACGGGGAAGCCCAGGAAGAGCATTTTGCCCCCACAGATGGCACCAGCAGGGATGGAGTGGGAAGGGTGCAGGTATTGGGTAGCCCAGGAGAGGGCTTTCTGCCCCAAGTCTTGACATCCCCCACACCACTTCCCCAAGGGTGATCACATGCATCAATCACCTGGAGAGTTGGAGCACCAGGTGAACTTAGCAGAGCAGAATGTCACTGCACAGATTCTGAAAACTGAATCATCACTGGAACCACAACTCGCTACACGCTAAACCTAAACAAGAGATCGGAAGAGCACACGTCTGAAAACTGAATCATCACTGGAACCACAACTCGCTACACGCTAAACCTAAACAAGGTGGCAGCCTGCAAAAACAGATGACTTAAATAAGATCCAGAGTCTCCCAACGTAATGTTCAGAATGTTCAGGATACAACAAATAATCACCACCATACCAGGAACTTTAAAAATAACTTAAGTGAGGAAAGACCATCAACAGTCACCAAAACGGAGATGAATCTGGTGTTGAGTTACTGACCAGAGTTTTAAAGGAGCCATCATAAAAATGCTTCAACAAGCTATCACAAATACTCTTGAAACCAAAAGAAAAAATAGGAAATCTCACCAAAGAAATAGAAGGCACAAAAAAGAATCAAATGTAAATTATAGAACTGAAAAATACGGTAACCAAAATTTAAATATCACTGGATAGTTTCAATAACAGCATAGCAGAATATGACAGAGGACAAAAATCAGTGAGCTTGATGATAGAACAAGAGAAATTATCCAAACTGAACAACAAAGAGAAAATTAAAAAAAAACAAAAACAAAACAAAGAACAGAGCCTTGGGGACCTGTGGGACAGTGTAGGTATCATTGGAGTCCCAGAAAGACAGGAGAAAGAGAGTGGAGCTAAAAGTATTCAAAGAAATAATTGGTGAAAACTTGCCAAATTTGGTAAAACACAAAAACCTACAGACTCAATATGCTGAGCAAACCCCAAATGAGATAAACTCAAAGAAATCCACACCAAGACACATCATAATTAAATTTCTGAAAACTAAAGACAAAGAAAAATTCCTGAAAGCAGCCGGACAGAAAAGACACATTACCTATAGGGGGGCCTTCGATCCGAGTGATAGCATATTTCTCATCTGAAACTATGGAATTCAGGAGAAAGTGGAAAGAAAAGAACTGTCAACTGTGAATTCTGTCTACGAAAATACCCCTTGGGAATGGAGGTGAAGTAAACGCATTCTCAGAGAAAGGAAAGCTAAGCAAATTTGTTGCTAGCAGACCTACCTTCGAAGAATGGCCAAAGGAAGTTCTCCAAAAAGAAAGGAAATGCCAGCAGAAGAAGGCTTGGATCTTCAGAAAGGAAAGAAGAGCATCGGAGTGGGTAAATAGATCACCCTTCTCTTCATAAGTGTCTTAAATCATGTTTTAGGTTTAAGCTAAATTTATAACACCATCAGATGTGGATGCTCAGCATAGATAAGAGAAACACTTAAGACAGTTGGTGTTTTAAAAGTGGGGAGGATGAAGCGTCCTCAATGGAAGTGAGGTTTCTGCACTTGAAGTGGTAAAACATTGGTTCCAGTAGGTGGCAGCTGGGCATTGGGATTTTTGGAAGCTTCCCAGATGATGCAGTGTGCAGCCAGGACGGAGAGTCACTCGTTTGGGGGTGGTGCAAGGATGCGAATGAGGGTGTTTGCTGCCTCAAGTCCCTAGGGCAGTTGTCCCCAAACCCCAGTGTGCATCAAAATGACCTGGAGGGCTTGTGAAAACAGCTCACTGGGCCTCAGCCCCAGAATTCTGACCCACTTGTCTGGGGTGGGGCTGGAGAATTCCCCCAACACCCTGTGGTACCCTTCTCTGGGCCTCTGTCCCTGAACACAGGGACCAGCAGGGCTGAGTGTTAGGTTCTAGGGGTCTTTGAACAATGGGCCAGTGTGGTGCTATCACCCCCTCTGGGGACTTGGTCCTCAGTCGGAGTCCTGGGAACAGGGGTCGTGGCTGAGCTGGGCATGGACGTGGCTGTGGCTGCAGGGCAAGCGGTACACGGCCTTGTTTTTCTGGTGCTCCGTGTCACCCACCCCCAGCCCTGCCTGCCTTGGTTTGTCACCTGCCCCCAGCCCTGCCTGCCTTGGTTTGTCACCTGCCCTCCGGCCCCACCTGCCTCAGTCACAGCCCCTGCCCGGGCCTCGGCCACCCTCCCTGCAGGCCGCCCTGCCTCTGCGCGTGACAAAGCTGTGCTGTGTCTGTTTCAGGATTCCCCTATTCCAAATCTGACTCCCTCCCGCGGCACGGGAAGAATGGCCTGGACCACCGGGTAGGTACTCGCCCCTCAGCACGTGTTACTAACCTCGCTGGGGCCTGCACATGGTGCCCTATGTGGCTTCCTGACCACACAGCCAGGAGCAGGGGGCTGTGGGGGATGCCCCTGCCTGCCTGATGCCCCACTGAGGGTGATGCCACCACCCCTGCTTTTTGCATAGCAGGACCAGACCAGAACCAGGGACACCATCTCTCTTATCCCCTCCCTGCCTTCAGCTGCAGAAGAGCTCAGGGTGTGGGGGCCAGGGGCACGCCGTACCACCAGGCCCCTCCAGGAGACCCTTCCTGTCTGTGGTCCTCCCTCTGTGATGCAGGGCGGTGTAATAAGGACCCGAAGGGGCTGCTGTGTTTCTTGAGATAATGTGAGCCGAGCGTCCACGTCCCCCCTGGAATTCCCCTCACCATCATTAGTACCATCATTAAAAAAAAAACACAAAAAACCAAACCCATTGCTGTCGAGTCGATTCCGACTCATAGCGACCCTACAGGACAGAGGAGAACTGCCCCATAGGGTTTCCAAAGCTGTCATCTTTACGGAAGCAGGCTGCCACACCTTTCTCCTGCCATCATTAATACTCCTGATAGCATCATTACCCCCAGGAGTATTTAATAATACTCACAGAGCTCAGCAACACATGGGAAGCTTCCCTCTGCTGCCCCTAGCCCAAGTCTGGTTTGGCTTCCCGCCCTGAGCTTTCCAAATCTCAGGGCGTCCGAATCTGCGCCCCAGGAGTTGGGTCCCTGACGTGTCCCCCCACCCCACCCTCAGGGGGCGAGGCCCCGGCACTGGGACAGTTAGCCCCTGAGGAGGCATTGTTCTTTCTGTCCCTCTTCTCATAGCTCAACTAGCTGTCCAGTGAGGGTCCCTAGGGGGGTGGGTGTGATGACACCAGACACCCCCCCAGCCCAGGAGACCCGCCATTACCCACCCAGCCCCAGGAGACCCACCGTCGCCCCAGAGAGCCTGTTCCCAGCCTGAGGAAGTATGTCCAGAAGTTCAGGCAGTTCACCCCCAAAGGGAGCCACTGAAAACAGAGTCCCAGCTACACCGGGGTGGTCCTGGCAGTGAGTGAGTAGCCCAGGGGCAGCTGTGGCCAGGGCGTATCATCCCCGGCATCAAAGCTGCTGTGACACCTCCAAAAGCAGACGTCACCTGTAACGACAGGACGCCCTCCTGGCCTGCATTGTCCTCCACCTTCTGCAGCCTCTGACATACCAGGGCCCGGCCTCCCAGGATCCCCCAGCATGGTTTTATTCTAGGGACCCAGCCCTCACCCCACTAACCGCTCTTCCCTCCCAGAATGGCCGCGTCCCTAATGAGCACACGGCTTGCGTCTTTCAATGTCCTTCAGGGGCTTCTCCACCTTCATCCTCCACATGGAAAGTGTGGGGACAGGGAGGACAGACCCATGTCCCCAGGATTCCAGGAAGTGTGAATCCTTTAAGCTCAGACGGGACAGACGGAAGCTGTCTAGAATGTTCTCTCCTTACCTGGAACAGCTGTTCTCTAACCCACAGGCTGGTGAGCTCAGTGCTTATGGACGGGGCCAAGTCCAGATGCTCCACCAACCAAATCAAACCCGGGGGGTTATTCTCAGTGCCCAGAGGGGAGTTAAGAGAATGGTGCTCTCTGCACTGCCAGTCCGCTGTGCATCCTCCTGTTGTCGGCTCTGACTCATGACGACCATACGTACCAGAACGATTTGTCACCAGGTTCTGAGCCATCTTCAGCGCACCTTCAGGGGGATTCTTGGTCCGTGTGCTGGGGTGACGTGGATGCTGGCCCCCAACATCCTGCAGAGGCCGTGGCCTCCAGATGCCCATCACCTGAGTGCGTTTGGGAACAGCTGGTTCCCACAGCCTGTATCCCCTCACCTAGGACGACCGAGAGCAGGACCCTAAGCTGTGCGGAATCTAGAGCTAGAACCTTTGGGAATGCGTTTCTCCCAGCGGCCTCAAGGCTGGCAAGGACAGTGTTACCCGAACCTGTGTGTCACATTTGCTTGGGGAGTCTAAAAATCTGAATTTATCACCACCTGATGATTTTTAGCTTTTCACGTTGCCTATGTGGGTGATTGTGAATAGTATTGATGACTTGGAGCTCTGGTGGTGCAGTGGTTAAGAGCTTGGCTGCTAACCTAAAGGTTTGACTCCACCAGCTGCTCCTTGGAAACCCTGTGGGGGCAGTTCTACTCTGTCCTATAGGGTCGCTGTGAGATGGAATGGATGGCAGCGGGTTTTGGTTATTGATGACTTCGTTCTGGAGTTCTTTTTTTCCCTGCTGACATTCTCTCCTGTTTTTTTTTCCACTCTTTCTAAGACTCTTATGTAATTGTATGCTCATTCCTCAGTGGCAAGGCCAGATACCTGATCTTTCCAATGTCCAGCCTTTTTCAGGGCAGCTACACCCGGTGCCTGGACCCTTGCCCTTCACCTTGGAAGTTTCCAGTGAGTGCTTGTTGGTGGACCATTGCTGGTGGCTTGTGGTGCTCCAGAGCTGTTGATTCAGTTGTTTCTCAGCTTGTTTTTACTTCCAGAAAAGACTGTAGGTGGCCTAAGGCGAAAGTACAGACACCGTGAAGCCAAAACCCATCAACACCAAATCACAAACGAGGAGAGGTGGAAAGTATAGGACAAGAGTATATCCAAAACCAACAAGAGAGCATTGTATAACAGTATCCAAGCTTAACTCGGAGCTTCCTAGTAGCCAGAGCAGAAGCAGACACGACCGTGTATGTATGTCCCATTGTTCTGATGGAAGGAAGCAAATCCATTCATCATGGAGGCAAAGGTTTCCTGGTTCTTGCTCTGGGAGAAATTTGTTACAGGGGTCCAATGCTCCAGTGCTTCATACACCCCCAAACAGATTAAAGTGCTCTCATGCCCTGGCAGCCAAGCCTGCCCCAGTGCCTGATGCTCAGTAGGTGTTCCCAGCCTGCCTGTGGAACCAATAACTGCTGCAGGTTCCCCCATGGATGAGGCAGTAATGATTCCGACAGGTACTACCTGGTCTGCTATTGAGAGAAGGATCACTGGCCAGCCAGCAGATCCTCATGGTGACGTGTCACCATCAGGTCGACTCCGAATCATAGGGACCCCATGTGTTACAGAGGTTTTCTTGGCTGTAATCTTTACAAAAGCAGATTGCCAGGCCTTTGTTTCATGGAGCCACTGGCCGGGTTTGAACTGCCAACCTTTAGGTTAGTAGTCAAGCACAAATCATTTGTGCCATCTAGGGAACTCATCCTCATGGTAGCCCCCTGGAAGAAGCCCCATTTTGAAAAAGCCCGATGCTAAACATGAACGGACTAAATTCTCCTATTAGAGACAGACTGTCAGGCTGGATTTTTAAAAGGTATTATCACAAGATACACACTTAAAATTGTTGTTTTAAAGGGTTAGAAATAAAAGGATGGGAAATAGATACTAAAATCACAAATAGAAAGAAAGCAGGAGTTGCAATATTAATATCAGATAAGGTGAAATGTAAGGTTAAAAAGAATTGACAGTATAAAGAGGGGCAACTAGTTAATGATAAAGACAATTTATAAAGCAATTACAGCACTCATGGACTTAAATGCACCAAGTAACATGGACGTGTCAGAGACCTTGATAGAATACAAGTATGGTAGGTGATTGGAAGATGCCTCTTTCGAAATCACAGATGGATCTAGTGAACAAATAGCAATCATAACAACAACAATAATAATAAATAGTTCAAACAGCAAACTTAATAGGCATATGAAGAAAACTACAACTTTGGAAGCAAGTTTCCGTAAAACATCTGCAAAAATGATCATGTACTTGACTACAAAGAAGATCTTAACAAAGGCCTGATAGTTGCAAACTGTAATGCCGGAACAACACGTGCTTTAGCATCACACACCCGTTCTCCCGAAGTTCAAATCCCAGCTTTGCCACTGACTGGGTATATGTCTTTGGGCAGGTTACTTAATATTTGTCACTATTTCCTTGCCTTAAAAAAAGGAGGACAAATAACATAATAGTTGTGCATTCTTTCCATAAGCTCTATCGGGTGGTTTCCACATGAATAATTAAAAGCAAGGTCCCACCTCTTAATTCCACATCACTGACTGCAAAGTAAAGCGACATAGTCCAGTGTGAGCTTTAGCAAGAAAAGAGCGGCAGCCAGTGGTGAATGGCCACTGCCTCGTCCCCACTGTTAGCAATCCCAGAATAATTTTTGGAAAAGAAAACACATGGGTTCAAACTTTTACAGTTTCAGGTATTAGCTGTGTCATCTTGGGCAAGCTGCTTAGCCTCTCTGAGCCTTGTCTCTACAATGGTGATAATGGTGCCCTCGTAGGGTCACAGGGAAGATTAGTGGGCATGTGTGTGCAGCACCTCACCCATCACAATCCTAACAGATGGGAGAGTTAATAACGCATCGCTTTTAAAATCTCTGGCCCCTCCGTAGTGGCCTGCAGGTGAACTCTCAGAGATATGCCGGTGGAGCTGCCTTTGTGGTATCCCCGGCTTCTCTAGCTGTCCTGCCCATCCACACATTGAAGCAGTAACCGCAGGCTGCCCTTGGACTGGGAGGTCTTGCAGATTCCACCCCCCACTTTGGACTTTAAAAGCCAGTTGCCGTGGATGGAGTCAACCCTGACTTGTGGCGACCCCATGTGTGTCAGAGTAGAACTGTGCTCCAGAGGATTTTCAGTGGCTGATTTTTTGGAAGTAGGTCGCCAGGCCTTTCTTCTGAGGCACCTCTGGGTGGACTTGAACCTACAGTATTTTGGTGAGCAGCCAAGTGCTTAGCCAGTTGCACCATCCAGGGTCTCCACTTTGGACTTAAAGACATTTTCCTGGCTCTGGGCCAGTCCAGTTCCTCTACACTCCCCCACCCCCACCTGAAGATGCCTCACCCACCACCCCTCCTGGGACTCCCACCTTATCGAGAGACTGGAGGACCCCAGGAAGCTTGTTTTGCTGCTAGAAAGTGGGTTTCCATGGTGTCCAAGGTGGCCGAGGCGGCCATGGCGGGGAGTTTGACTGCCTGTGATGCAGCACTCAGGCACTAGGGGGCAGCATTTCTCTTTTGCATCTCAGATAGGCAGATGGGGAGTGATGAGTGGGCCTACAGCCCAGAGAAGTCCCCTGAGCAAGGCAGGTGCCCTGGGAGTGCTGCCAATGGACTGGGGGAAACATTGGGAAAGAAACGTTTTTGAAAACTCCTCCTGGGAAGATTTATTCCGTGATGTGGAGGAGGTAGAGACCATGGAGAGCCCCTGGGTGGGTGTGAAGACCCCTGGCTCAGGGTCCCAGGGCCGGTCTAGGGGAGGCAAGCAAGACACTCGCCTTAGGCACAGAATTGAATGGGGTGCTGGAAAAATCAGTCATCAAGATAAGTAATATTTTAATGCAGAATTTTTAAAAATCCAAATTAATGCAAAAAAAAATGATGCACAAAATATCCAAATTTTACGTACAGTCAGTCTCCAGCCCCCCCCTTGTGCAGCTCACCTCGCTGTCTCGCCCTTGTCCCAGCTGGTGAGGCCCAGGTCTTCTGCCCGCTGCTCAGTTTCCCATCTTTAAGATGAAGGTGCTGCCTGCGATGCTACCCGGGGCGTCTTCCTGCTCTCACATCTGCTCAGCCCATCCACCCCCTTGCTTCTCGTCGGGCGCAGTACCCTGCCCTGTAACAGGACCTCTGGGTTGAGAACATGATCTCCCTTCTAACTGCAGCTCTCACTCTGTTGAAATGTAACCCCCTGTGCCCAGGAGCCCTGACCCTGCTTTGGGGTCTGTACTAGGAGCTGGGGAGGCAGGGTGAATGGGATGATTTCCTCAAAGGGCTCAGGCCACTCATTTGGCAGGTGCAGAGCAGAGTGGGGCTCATGGAGGCAAACAGCTGGTGCAGCTAGGTGTGGGGGCTGGCCTGGGTGGCTGACTGACCCCCTCAGGGTGCAGCCAGGTGTGGGGGCTGGCCTGGGCAGCAGACTGACCCCCTCAGGGTGCATCCAGGGGCTGCGGGGCTCAGCGCTCACTTCATGGGGTGGTGGGGCAGGGGACCTCCCCCGAGGCTTGCAGGAGGCAGAGGGGGGTTTAGGGCCACATCATCAGGTTGGGTAACTACACCGGCAGAGTTGGGCGGATGGATGTCAGGACAGACGCGGGGGCACGTGGGGCAGGTGGCTGGGCCCTCAGGCCCTTGTCCCCCCGAGTGTCCCCTCTGGGGTCTCAGCTGCTCGTGTGGAGTGCTCATGTCATGCCGGGAACCACATGTGCTTACAGCTTACAGAGGTTGGTGCGTTCCTCAAAACAGCTTCCAGAGGGGGGTGGAGGCTCCCTGTCCTGGGGTCTGGGTAGAGGGACTGACACGCAGACACGCTGTGTGTGTCAGTGTAGATGGCCCCCAAAAGGGACCCAGACCCAGGAGAGGGACATGTCGCAGGCAGAGGGCACAGGTGCTGCCTAGACCAGCCTAAACTCCTGGGGACAGCAAGTCTGTGCCCTCTAGATCATTTCCAGGTGACCAGAGGTCACTAGGAAGGGCCTCAGAGCCACACCTAAGGCAGTGGGGTGACGAACCGCCCTCCGACCCGTGCCAGCCTCAGGTGGAGGGGCCCAAGCTCCGGCGCCATCTTGCGGGCAGGGTCAGTGGGAACGCGGGTGCAGGCCTCGTGGGTCCCCATCTAGATCCAGGTGTCAAAAGCTCCCGCAAAGCTGGTGCTCCTCTCTCCAGGCCGAGCAAGGGTGGAGGCTCGGGAGGGACACCACCTGGCCGGCCTGCCCGCCTGCTCACTTGCCCCGCTGCCGTCTCTCTCTTTCTCTTCCAGAATGCCAATCTGGCCCCTCTCGGAGCAGACCTGGACGCCAGCTGGGGCACACGAGGTACAGGAAGCCAGGGTCACCCACACACTTCCCTCGGGGCTGCTGGCAGAGGGTCCATGCGTCGGGGGGCATCTTCCCCCGCCTCCTCTGGTCAGGGATCAGTTTACCTCCAACACCTGAGCAGCTCTCCCAGCTCACCTGTGTGGGGGAGAGACCTGTGTTTGCACAGCGCCCCCTGCGGGGCAGAGGCGACCTGACCCTGCCGCTGTTAAATTGTGTGGCGGTGAAAGGGAGGCAGGAAGCCCCCAGGGTTGGAGCCAAGTGGAGCTGGGCACGAGCTCTCCAGGCACAGACAGGTGGACTGCAGGGATGGGCACCGTGTGGCACCTGGCAGCTGCTAGCAGGTGGCCGCGCTCGTGGCTCTGAGCAGGGTCCTGCTCTGGGGCTGTGTGCACTCTCGTTACCCTGAGGAGGGACCCGGGATATCACCCGGCTAGTTTGCATGTGAGTGGCAGAGCACTGAGTGGCTTTCCAGTCCCCGGGCTTGGAGCTGGTGCACCCAGGGTCCCACATGGCACGTGGGGAATTCAGGACTGGCTCCCCTCAGCAGTCCGTCCCCTTGTCGTGGGGCACCCCTTCCCTGGGCCTCGCCTCCAAGACAGTCTCAAGGTGCGAGCTCTCGAGATACCGCTTCTCTTGGGGTCTGTGTGTGACGGGGGCTCGTGCAGCTTCATCTCTGAATGAAATGCCATGTCAGGAAGGAATCCCTCTAAGAAGCTAGAATGCTGAGCTCAGCCATTTCAAGAGGAGGAACTAAAGAGTTAAAAAGGAAAGACAGAGCTTTAGGGAGCAGATGATAGTGAGGATGTCAGTCTCCACAACACCTCAGAAGGTTTGATTGGAATGCCCACTCTGCAGGTGGGTAAACTGAGGCAAGCAGCATTGTCAGGCTGACCTGGACCTCCAGGGGAGACAGTGTCACCACCGAGGACACAGTGCCACTGTCCACTCCAAGTCTGGCTTTGCCCACCTGGCCATGCCTCACTCTTGGGGTTCTCCCTATAGCCCTCAGAGCCCCCCCTGGAGCCCCAGGCCTCAGTCCAGGGGGCAGGCCTCTTGGGGACCAGGGGACTGACCTGTACTTGGGCCCAGCTGACTGCATAGGCTGGGCAGGGGTCCCCTGAGGACAGGGATGGCATCCATGGATGGAGCTCTTGCCGCGGACCCCCAGCCACGCTCTCTAAATGACCGCATGTGGTCTCCCCTCTTTCTCTTTCAGAATACAAGGTAAGGGGCGGCCGGGCCCACCTGACCTCTGCACGCCACGCCCACCAGCCCAGGTCACAGGTTCCTCTTTGTTGTGCTTTTCCGTGTAATATGTATGTCCCATGCAGCCACAAGTATGTGCTCCCGTGGGCCTGCTGCTCACCTCGGGGCCCAGCGTGCGCGTGCTTCTGGGGGTGACTCTGGTCTCTCCCCCCAACAGATCTACCCTTATGACACCCTCATCGTCACAAACCGAATTCGGGTGAAGCTACCCAAAGATGTGGACCGGACGCGCCTGGAGGTGAGAAAGGCTGTGGAGTGGCTTGGGAGGGGACTCATTTCGGCTGAGTCATCCTTGGCAGAGGCCTCCTCCAGTGACCACAGGGGGCATGGTGCCAGCTCCCATGGCGAATGGCCTGGGTCGAGGCCCACCTTGTTCTGAAGGCAGAAGACCATGGTTGCATGCCTGAAAGATGACTGTGCCAAGAGGGACATGTTTGTGTGTGGATCAGGGTGGGAAGGAAGGCTTTGTAGCAATGATCTGCTCAGCCTCATTAGACTTCTTCATGAACTGCTGTTGGGAAGATGGCCACAGTCTTAGAATAATTCATGGCTTCTCACGTTTCTCTTCCTCTGCCCACATTCACACTGATCTAGAATAACAAAGTGATCAGCAGGAAGGAAGCAAGCCTGGGTTTAGAAGGCTCAGCAGGTGTCAGCGCAGAGCAGGAATTGGGTGATACTTGCTGAGCAGAAGAACTGGGCTTGCTGAGCCCTTCCTGTGAGGCAAGGTGCCCTCTGAGCAAGGCTTCACTGGTCCTCACAACCGTCCTGCACTCGGCAGCAGCCGGCCTTCCCCACTGCCTAAGCCCTTTCAGGAATGTTTTGTTGCCTCTTCAGGAATGTTTTGGTGCCTTTCAATGAATATTTCTCCCACGCTGGGGGCAGGGGGCTCCTGAAGGGCAGGAGCCACTCTGCTTTGTTCACGCCCCAGGGCTGGGAGCACGGTAGGTGCTGTGAACATGTGATGCTCAGTGTCGTTCAGCCAGCTGCCAGACCAGCCCACCCAGGCAGTGGGGGGGGGGGGGGCACAGAGTGCCCACGGGAGTGCTTAGCGATGCCTGAGGGCTCAGCTGGAGGCTGGGCAGGGAGTTCCTGCAGAGGGCAGTCCCTTCTGGGGCCACAGGGAGGCCCTCAAACTGCCCTGGACCGCTGGGTGAGATTCTCCTAGGCAGAGTGGGGAGCATGTGGAAGGGCATTCCAGGCCAAGGAGCACTGAGTACAGGCTTAGAGGGGCTCTGCAGGGTGTGTCCCTGGACACGCAGGGGGCTCTCACTGGTCACACCCAACAGGCCCCGTCCTGAGGCTTGACTCAAGTCCCCAAAGTGAGGACACTGATCGCCCTTCGTTACTGTCCTGGGGCTCCTGTAACAAAGCACCACAGCTGGGTGGCTTAGAGCAATAGAAGTGAACTCTCGCACAGTTCTGGAGGCCAGAAGCCCAAATACAGAGTGTCGGCAGGGCCCTGCTATCGCCAGAGGCTGAAGGGGAAGATCCTTCCTTGTCTCTTATCTCTCCCAGCTTCTGGGGGCTCCCAGCAATCCTTGGCGTTCCTTGGCTAGTAGCTGCATCGCTCCCATCTCTGCCTCCATCATCACATGGTGTTCTCCTGTGTGTTTGTGCGACTCTGGGTCTCTTCTTACAAAGACGCCGTTAAGATTGATTAGGCCCACCCTATTCCCATCTGACCTCATCTTAACTAATGACTTCTGCAAAGGTCATGTTTCCACAGAAGGTCACACTCACAGGTTCTGTGTAGACATGAATTTGGGGGTACACTATTCGGTCCACTGCACCCCTTAGGAGTGTTGCTGTGCAGACGAGACCACGTCAAATAGTCACGCAGCACAGGGGTGGTGGCGGCAAGGAGAAGAGGGTCAGGGACTGTCATGACTGCAGTCACGCAGCACAGGGGTGGTGGCGGCAAGGAGAAGAGGGTCAGGGACTGTCATGACTGCAGAATTGTTGTTGTTAGGTGACGTCAAGTTGATTCTGTCTCACAGCGACCCCATGTGACAGAGTAGAACTGCCCCATGGGGTTTTCTAGGCTGTAATCTTTACAGGAGTAGATCTCCAGGTCTTTCTCCTGCAGAGCCTCTGGGTTGGTTCAAACTGCCAACCTTTCAGTTAGCAGCTGAGCACTTAATCACTGTGCCACCAGGGCTCCTCCTGCAGCAGTGGGGGATCGGGGAGCATATCTATTTTGGCCCTTTTTGTTGCAAATGATAGAAACTTGACCCAAAATGACTTAAACAGAAAGGGAATTTATTAGCTCACATGACTAAAGAGCCCCTTCAAGTGTGGCTTGATCAAGGTGTCTCTGGGACCAGCTTCTTTGTCCGTGTCCCTTGCCCGTGTGCCCTCTGTGCTGGCCCTGTTATAGACAGACTTTGACCTCACCTGTCCCAGCTCACAGTCTCCAGGAAAGACACCTGTCTCGCTCTCTCGCTCAGCTGCCCCAGCAGAAGCCCCATCGCCAGCTCTGCACGAGTGATATGACCATCCCTGAGCCAACCAGTTGACCCAGGGAATGTGATGCCCCAGCCAGCCAGGCTTGGCCACATGCCCGCCAGGGAGCTCGGCTGGTAGCTGCCACCCCCTGGGCTGAATGGACCAAGGGGTGGCTCCTGGAAGAAAACCAGGTGCCTGGAGATGGGAAGATGCTGGGCACCCTGCAGGCAGCAAGAGTCCACCTGCGGGAGGTGGTCAATGAGGTGGGGAGGAGGGGGAGCACCGCTGAGTGAGCCCTGGATGCCGTGTGGGTCAGCACAGACTAACCTGGCCAGTGCGGTCAGCGGTCGGGCAGCGCAGAGTAACCTGGTCAGTGCGGTCAGCGGTCGGGCAGCGCAGACTAACCTGGTCAGTGCGGTCAGCAGTCAGTGGTCGGGCAGCGCAGACTAACCTGGTCAGTGCGGTCAGTGGTCGGTCAGCGCAGACTAACCTGGTCAGTGCGGTCAGCGGTCGGTCAGCGCAGACTAACCTGGTCAGTGCGGTCAGCAGTCAGCGGTCGGTCGGTGCAGTCTAACTTGCCGACGTGTGCGAGGCCCGGGATGGGGGCCTCGCACCACCGAGCGAGCGACCACGGAGCTGGGTAACACGAGGACACTTTGCTCAGGAGGCTGGCGGCTTATCAGGATGTTGGACCTGACTTTGCCTTAGTCTTCTGGTGTCACTGTGACAGAGACACCGCCGGGGGTGCAGTGGTTTCACAAGAACAGAAATTCACTTTCTCACAAGTCAGGAGGCTGGAAGTCCGAACTCGGCACGGCTCTAGGGGAAGTCTCTCTCTCTGTCGGCTCTGGAGGAAGGGCCTGGTCTCTTTTCAGCTTATTTTCCTTGGTTCCTTGGAGCCCTTCACATGGCACCTGTCTTCCCCCGTCTGTGCATCCTGCTTCTGTACCTAATCTGCTCCTTTTCTATCTCAAAAGTGTTTGGTTTAAGCACACCCTGCACTCATATGGCCTCTTCAACTTAAAGAAAACCCTATTCACAAATGAAATCACATCCACAGGTATAGGAGTTAGGATTCCAGCACATATTTTAGGGAGACGTGACTCAATCTATAAAAGCCCTGTAGAGAGGAAAAGCCACTGAGAAGTTCTGACCCGTCTGAACGAGTGTGGGCATTGGCGGGAGGGGCAACTGGGCCACAGGGCCCCTGGGAGCCGGCATGGGAGCCCAGGAGGGTAGAGCTGCTCTGTGGTGCCCTGCCCTGGGTCCTGCAGCCCTGGCAGCACACCAGGCTTGTGGAGGAGCCCCGAGAATGTAGTTGAAAGTATGCACAAGTGAGCCCCCAGGCTGAGCCGTGTTATGTTGAGACTAGATCTCAGGCTCTATGTGGGAGCACACGGTGCCGGAAACCACTCCCAGGCTGAGAGCAGGTCACCCACGCTGGCACACTGCAGGCCGAGGCCTCGGTTCACACGGGACACCGTCCGTGTGAACGGAGCCCTCCAGTCCAAATGCGCTGCTGTGAACTGGTGCTTCCGGCAGGTGGGCGGCTCCCCGTCAGGAGCTGCCTGGAGGGTTGGGTTTGCTGTGTGTCTTCGTTCATGAGAGGGGCTTCCCCAGGCCAGAGGTGCTGGGAGCTTGTTGCTGTCAGCACAGAGGTGAGCTCAGAGGTACTGGTGGGGCCAGGAGCCTGCCCAGACTTGCTGCCTCTCCGGGGGGCTGGGCTGGTGGCAAAGCGGCAGGAGGGCGGTATCTGACCTCCTCTAACTTCACAAGGGGAAGGAGAACCAAGATCAACAGCCTAAGGATTATTCCTATGAGGCAGAGGTCAGACATGCCTCCTTTCTCCACCATCTTTGCCAATTCTGAAACCAACTGCCCCTCCCACGGCCCTCTCAACTTTTCTGCTGTGTCTGATAATTCACTGCAGTGGCCACACAGAACTCACAGACCATACTCATGATTATGGGGTTTATTAGGGAAGTAACAGTTACAATTCATGCTCAGGAATGCTCAGGATACAGTCCTTCCATCAGGACAGCCTTTTCCCAGCTGTGCTCGCAGGCACACCTCTCCCTGGCCCTCGGCCTCTGCCCAGAAGCACTCAGACTTCTCTCTCCATGGGCCAGTGTCTTAGTCATCTAGTGCTGCTGTAACAGAAATACCACAAGTGGATGGCTTTAACAAACAGAAATTTATTCTCGCACAGTCTAGGAGGCTAGAAGTCCAAATTCAGGGCACCAGCTCCAGGGGAAGGCCTTCTCTCTCTGTTGGCTCTGGGGAAGGTCCTTGTCATCAATCTTCCCCTGGTCTAGGAGCTTCTCAGCACAGGGACCCCAGGTCCAAAGGATGCCCTCCACTCCTGGCTCTACTTTTTTGGTGGTATGGGGTCCCCATGTCTCTCTGCTCACTTCTCTCTTTTATATCTCAAAAGAATTGGCTTTAGAGAAAACCTAATCTTGTAGATTGAGTCCTGCCTCATTAATGTAACTGCTGCTAATCCCACCCCATTAACATTATAGAGGTAGGATTTACAACCCATGGGAAAATCACATCAGATGACAAAATGGTGGACAACCACACAATACTGGGAATCATGGACTAGCCAAGTTGACACACATTTTTTGGGGACACAGTTCAGTCCATGACAGCCAGGGAAGCCCACCGCGCCGTCTTCTGCTGCCAGGTCTTCGCGGCCGGGTCTCCGCCTTCAGTGTTTCATGTCTTTCTCTCTCTCTCTCTTTCTGTCTCCTGGTTCCAGGAGCTTCTCAGCACAGGGATCCCAGGTGC